AGAAGCCGCCAAAATCAACTGGAAGTACTGCAAAGAATGCTGCTAAAAGAAAAGATCCCATGGAAGAGGAGGATATTGGGGCATGGACATCTAGAGGAATAGAGGCTAGAACTGAACATGCAGGGGGAGAGAGGTCTAGTGCTGGTGGCTGGAAATTCATTCGACCCAGGACTGCTTCTGATGTGAAGCCTGCAGATCGTGGTGCCTCTTGGACCCTCCCAGGGACAAGTGATGTATTTGCAGCAGGATGTCAATAAAGGTAAGGAAATTTATAATATTCTAAAACTTATTTCAGGGCAGGATAAAGGTGGTGGGTACGCTGCTCAGAACCTGTATCCTGTACAAGAATAAATTAAAAATGTAACCTTTGTTGAAATATTGTTTCAGAGATGTAAGTGCAACCGAATCAGGCCTCAGGAGAATGGTTGATGAGTTGGGCAAGGGTACATTTATTGATGCACCCTTGTCCAGCTCATACTTGGATGCCGGTGTACGCCATGGCCCCAGGGGAAGCATCAACCATGTCTCTAGAGAGGTGAGTTTCTTTAAGAGTATTTATTAAGCCAAAGTTATTAAATTCTGAGAGAGTGGAGTAGCTCAGTGGTAGGGCACTGACTAGCAATGCTAAATGTCCCCAGTTTGAGTCCGGCTCATGGCAGATAAATTATTTATTCTGTTTCGTCAGCCATGGATCGGTTCTGGAATTGGGAGATCCTCCTGGGGCATACCCAGCTTCTGTAAAGGGTTATCTTTAATTTAATAATTGGTTAAGGAGAAAATCTGACAGTTGAGGGTGATATCAGTCAAATCACCTCCTTGTACTACCGTTGGCTAAGAAATGGAACTTACCTACATAGACTCTTTATGGGTTGAAGTAGTACAGGTTTTTTATTAAATACTTTATAGAGATAAAAAAGTTAACCTTGATAATATTGCTAAAGCAAAAGTCATTAATACAATTATCGGCATGCAATGTGTGAGCTCCATTACCAATATTCGGGATTGTTCTGATAAAAAATCATGTTGAGACAATCATCATACCCGATTTGAATTATGTCTTAACAGTGTGACTGTACACGCCTGAAGGAAGAAGTATAATGCAGTCCTCTGATGATCTTGGTATTTCAAATGTCTTAATCATCATTTACTGAATTAATACTAAAATCATATACTTTGAATAGCAGCCTCTGTTCAATTATGTTGGACAGGAATGATGAACTTGGCAAATTGAAAGCCCTCATTAGAAGATTCTTTAATCAAAACGTGCTTTAACTGATTATAATCAGACTGTTTACTGAGTTGAATTAGAAGTGTGGTGAACCTCTGCTTTGACATTAATGACATTTGATCCATATATATGTTAAATTCGCTTATCCAAGCAATTAGGCGATAAAGGAATAATAAATAAGGGATAAAATTGGCTCCCCTGAACAAAAACAAAAATGTGACACAGTGTTCTCTTTCTCCGGAGTACAGACTTAGTAACAAAGAAACAAATTTTAAAGTTATGAAATATTGACTCCCCTGTACAAATACAAAAATTGACATGGTATCCTTTACGTCCGAGGTAAAGAAATATAAAAATATTATATTTTCTAATCATTTAAATATTTAAAAAATCTTGGATTTGTCATTAAATTGCAGTAATGTTCATAAATTTATTTACTTAAAATCCCTTATATGTAATAATGTAATAATATTTTTTAGAATTAACGATAAAATTAAATGCTAAATCGAGAAGGTTATGGAAAATACTAAATCTTAGATTAGATATAAATAATTTGAGGGACATTTAATTTTGAATACTTTTTTATCTTTAGAATATATAAATAATAATATTTTTTTATTTCTTACCATAAATTAAATTTTATTACATAGAAATTGGTTATTTGCCAAAAAAGTTCTCCACCATTCAATATTGACAAGCATCATCATGTGTCCTCCCGGACTATTGGGTTTCACAATTCCTCCCGGTGAATAGAAGTTTTGATCCAATCTACACATCCTAGGCCAGGACCTAAACCTCAATTCCCCACTTGCTGTTTTCCGGGGGCTGTTGAGCATGTGATCGTGATCTACACTGCAAACAGTGGATTTAGTGCCACTTTGATGAGAAATAGAGGAATTTATATCCTTACTGAAGAGTTTCCTAGGTTGGTGAGTGAAGAGAGCTTCCTGTGGTTCAAGGATTTCATTCATGGATGGAAGACTATCATGTGTCCAACCAAATTTAACATTGAAACCCAAAGAAGGAGAACATCAGCGCCAGGAAGATTGCTGGATTCCGAAAACTCAAGATTCGAAGCATTGAATATAACTATAGTAATGTGCACAATGTTACCTATAAGACTTGCTTATTGTGCAGTCATGCGAGACATCCCACTTCAGAAAACACCTGTATAAGGCATATACTATTCCATATAAGGCAAACGCCCCTTAAGGCATGAGAGGGTGCAAAATAAATTAAACGAGAGAGTGATAGGTATGGCAGAGTAGAATGGTGCCAATGGCAACCCTGAAGGATCTGATGGGTACCTGTTTTTTCCTGCCGTCTGATAGATGAGATCATAACCATCCTCTTAAACACACTCAGCCACAATGCAATCTGAGGAACTGCACGTATACTTGCTCGAAATACCAACAGGGTCATTCGTACCGTGCACCATCTACGTTTTTCCTCCTCTTTAGTCCTGGAGCTTGAATTTCAGTTATTATTCTATAGTAAGGGATCACATTGGTCCCTATTAATAGCACTATAGGCTTGTTCACTGTTTGTTTTTAATATAATATTTCATTCTCTTTTTAAATTACATCGAGGTTGTTGTTCATTTATTTGGTTTTTAAAACATTCAACAATGTTAAAAAATATACACTTATAAAAAATTTAAATATTAGTCATTTGGAAATTGGATTTTAAAATAATGCACATGTAAATATATTATCATTTATAATATATTTATTAATGAGGATTTTAAAAGAGTATTATCTAATTTTGTGATTGATACATGTTTTTTTATTAACCAGAATGTGATGCTTCAACAAAGGGCGTCTTCATGAATTTCTCCTTTGTACTTCTATTTATTTTCTTGAAGTAAAAATGTGTAAAGCTTAGTTATACTGATAAAACAATTGATATGTATTTTCCAATTAGTTTAAATTTTATTTGTACAAATGTATAAAAAAAAAAATTCCTTTTTCAGTGGGCCAATTTGGTCCGAGGACCCTAGTAAAAAACTATTTTAATTTATTAGTTAAATTAAAAAACCACATGGAACTCCTAAATGTAAATGTTTTCGTTTCACCTTAAACCACATTTTACCAATAGTCAACTTTGCTTTTACTTTTAAATCAAGGTAATTAAATAAATAAATTTTTAAAAACCAATTATAATTAATTAAATCTAAATTGAGCTTATAAATAAGGTGTCGTTCATGGGCTACATCATTCTCCCATAAGGCGGTCTTTGGTAAATTAATTTCTTGAACGATCTATTATGGGAAAAAGAACACAATTTGGCCAAAACGATGATATAGCCAAGATCATTAAATCAGTTAATCTAGGTTCTAACAATAGTCAACTTAGGTCGCAAGTTGGCATACTATTTATTTTTTTTATTCAAAATAACATTTTACCATACATTCGAACATATTTCTTATTTTTTTATAAAATTATAAGTTATCATGGTTAACTGTAAAACGACCATGTTAAATTTCAAGAAAGCTTATAAAAAATCTATATTATAGAGCTATAAATGCTGTTTTTATCTACTAAATTGCATGTATACATATATAAGGCACTGAATTTCATTTTCATCAAGCCACCGATTCCAGGATAAAGTGAATCCCACTCTAAGAAATAAATGAAATTGAGTGGGAGGATGTATATAAAAATATTAAACAAAATATATATATAAGACTCAGAAATAAACAAATAGGTATGTGCCTCAGAATTTATTTATTTTTTAACGGTTGTTTTGACCTTAATTGAATCGGTCATTTCAGAAACAAAAAATGCTACATTTTTATAATTTTGATAACTACGCAAAAACTATTTTATATTAATATTTGCATTGATAAAAGTCTGAAAAGAAAAATATATATGTATCCTAAACGATTAATATTTATGTTGTGTGTTTTCTTACATTAAACGTCTATGGACAATGTAAAGGCCAATTCACAGATATCACCATCTTTTAATTTACATCATCTAATTAAAGTACAAAAGGTTTTAAATTGACAATTTTCTTATATTAACATTACTACATCAGGATAACATTTATCATAATGTTAAAATAAAAAAAAGAAATTAATAAATAATAATAAAAAAATAACTGCAAACCAACAGAAAATTCTTATCTCTCATTTTATACCATTTAATATTACTATGTAGAGCTAAACAGTCCAATCTTATAACAATAAATAATTAATCACTTTTCTTCGCCCTGTTTTGTCAAACCGAATTGGCCTGATTTTCCTGTTTGAAGCTGGAAAACAGTTGTGTTATTTCCCTAAAATAGAATATGAAAATTAGTACAGATACATTTAAAAGTAAACGATTAACTTCCTTGAAGGTATGCGAAAAAATTAAATTTTCCTTCTGGGGTAAATTATTTTATTACTCATGATGTCCACTTACATATTCAACATTATGGGGCTCTGCCCCATCTTAAGGAATATTCTATTTCGTATTGTTTCTAAATATTATCATATATGCCATCCATAATTTCTTATGTTGTAATTTTTCTTTATAACTTCTATTGTGTTTAGGAACATTCTGATCATGCATTGTTACCATGACAGTATGGCAAAACGTTATAAGGAAAAATGGCAACATAAAAAATTATTTAATTTTTTTTGCATACCATAAAACATTAACTGTATAGAGTGATTAACAAGAAAATAATTAAATAAAATAAAATTTTAAACTATTTATTTCTTGAGTAAAAAAAATATATTATCATGAAAATATGACTTACTTGATTTCCACACTTGGAGGGAAACTTAACTTTTCTTATTAGAATCGTACTCATCCGAATCGACTTCTTGCTTTACAGTATCGACAACTTCTAATTCTTTATGAAGATCCCATGCTACACCTGAGTAATGATCAGATAATTTTTATAAGTTCTTAATAATCTGTTTTTAAAAAAAATTACACAATAAGAATCGATCTAATAAAAAAATCTCGTGCTTGCATCACACGACTTTCATCTACCACCCTCTTCTTCGCAGAAATAAGTATTTTCAGAGAAAAGGGAAGTGAAAGTAAAAATTATAGATGCTATATTTATTTGCATTTCATTGTGGGTATTTTTATTTGTTTAAATACCCTTATATAGACATATTTTAAATTTTATATCGCTGTATTCTATACAATAAAATATTAAATAATACCAAAGATAGCATTTATGAAAACTGCATATCTAAATGTACATAATATTGTCAGAGTAGCTTCTCATTAGTACTTTTGTTTCTTTATTACTATAAACAGCATAATAATTATCCATATGACGCCATCTGTGTGTGCAATTTCTCGTTAGTAAATGCTCTTTTAAGCAGCGTCATTGGTTGAATGAATGAGTGCTTGTCAGCCAAATCTTGACCCAGATGTATATATTACAAACATTAAATAGTATTGGTATGTTTTTCTATAAAAAAAAAAAAAAACTCTTATAAGTCCATTTTGCTTAAATTTCATTCATTACCCTTGTTTGATTTCAATATAACGACCAGTGCTATTATTGAAAATTATAAACGATATCCAATGTATATTTATTTCCAATTTGAAAAAAAAATTGACATACTAAAAAAATTGCCTGACTTCTCTCTGAATTTTCCTTGTTTTTAAAATTGATTTCTATTTTCACTTCCCCTTTGTCTGAAGATACTTATTTCTGCTAAGAAGTTGGCAAGTGAAAGTCGTGTAATACGCGCGCACCAGATTTTTTTTATGTTGAGCAATTTAATTTATCTTTGTTTAGTTCTTAGTAAGTAATAAGCAACATAATTACTTTGATAGGTTTTTAGTCATTTGTTCAAATAAGTCTTCTACCCTTTTTTATTTAAAGATTTTTATATTTTACCAAATTTATCATTATATAGGGTGTCCCCATCCCAAAATTAATGTATGATTTAAATTAAATAAAAAACACAGTTCTTTCTCCTGTTATTTCTTTTTTATTTGTCAATTTAACATCTGATAGTTTAGGATTAATAAAAATGGAGCGTTATACGAGAGAACAATCTGTTTTAATTGTTGAAAAATATTTTTAAAATAATAAGTCTTTAAAAGTAAAAACACAGGTAGTCCAAAAAGTTCATTCATACAAATAAAATGATGTATTTAAATGTGTAATGACATTTCAACCTAAATTTTGATCTGGACAAAACTCATCTGGTTCTTCAGGTAAATCTATTTCATGTGTTTTGCCCTAATGAAGGTCTAAAACTTCAGTCGAAATGTCAACACAAGAAAATAATATGTTTTATTTCTATGAACTTACATCTTTGAACGAATCCCCAACAAACTCCTCAAACTATTACTATTTACACTATCCTACAACACAGTCAATATATTTATTTATTTTTATTAATATTTATTGGTGATCAATTTATAAAAAAATGTATAATTATTTTCAGCTCATAGGATATTTAAGAAAAATGGAAACTACGTCTACTTGCCTTCATTACCAAGCGACCTGGAAGTTGTAGGGCGAGTTGGAAAACGAAGAGGTGGCAGTTCTTTAGGCCTAGACCTCGGGCTGGTCAAAGCCTGCAGTGCAAGACTCGGTTCTTCGTGTGCCATGAAGAAGTTTGCATGAGATACGAGTCCGACGGTCGAGACAGGTTGTACCTTGTTCCGTCGGACCATAGTCATCTTATTTCTTTGTTTCGCACTCTTCCTCTCAAATTGTTCTAAACAAAATTATAAATAATCTGTAACTTGGAGTAGTAATAATAACTCTAAAGCTGAAAATGTCATTGCTTGGACGATCAGTATAACTCATTAATAATAATAATAATAAAAATAAATAAATAAAATAATATCAAAATGTTACCTTTTATTACTCCAATCATATTCTTAAAATCTGAGTCTGTAGGAGTTGGTAACCTGCAGTTACTGTTATCTGTATCAATTCTATTATCCCAATGAGTGATCTAAACAAAGTTAATAAATAAATAAAATTGATATTACTATTAATATTTTTTCATTATATTTATCTAAGTAAATACAAATTAGTTGTAAGCCATGTAAAATAATTTCTGTAACTTTAGGCATGAGAAAATCCCAGAATAAATTTTACTTTTCTTTTTCTTCTTAAAAAAAAAAAAAAAAAAAAAAAAACTTATTGCCATTGATTAACTATAAAAATTGTACAAAAACAAAAAATTAATAAATTGGTAAAATTTACACCACAGCTTTCTCAACTTCATTTTCCTCTACCATCTTTTTTTTTTAACTTATTTTTCAAAATCTAATATTTTCCTTCCAGACATGATGAGCGATATAGGTGACAGTAGAGTTATAAGATACATTTTTTATATACGCAAATTTGTTTTTTAATATGGTCAACACTTATTCCATAAATGGAATCTAACAATAAATTGAGTAAAACAGAACAAATTGTCGGTTTATTGCAAAAAGTCATTAAGTGACATTTCATAATCTCAAAAAATTAAGAACTTTGATGAATTTTCCCTTTGTGAAATCAGAAAATTGTGCAATTCGTAATAAATAAAAGGGAAACAGTAATTTTCAATCACTTATGGTTTTTTTTTTTTAAAGATAAACAAGGTCGAGATTCACAAAAATATATTAGACAGTTAACCTATATCAAAAATGCACTTAGTGACTTTTTAAACCGATGAAATAAAAGAAATAGGTAAATTTTAAATCATTGCATTCCATAATTTCATTATCTTCTGCCATTTCTTTTTTTTTTTTTTTTTTTTTCATGCCTCTTTTTCAAAACCTAGTTTATTTTTTCAAGATAGGATAAGAAAAATATAATTAATAGTTAATTTTATTAAGTAAATATAGAAATGAATATTCATTATACTTTTACGTTTGTGACAAGGGTGATTCAGCATATATATTTATTTTTATTTTAAAATAGATTTATTTCCTTGAAAATGGCCTAAAGGGTTGAAGCATTGGATGTAGAGAAAAAATAAAGTGGTCCCAACCAACAAGATTGCAATCATATATATATATATATATATATATATATATATATATTGTGTGTGTTGGCATTACAGACCATGTAGATCGTTTACCGCCTTAACAGCTGCTCCATCATTTCTATTTATATTCATATTTATAGAAATGAAATTAAAAAGCTTGCTACAGATTATCTATCAAAGAAAAAAAATGGAGCAATTATTAAATAAGAAGAATGAGAAAGGCAATTTGTCCAAAAACATACATTAGTGTCAAGGAGAGATTTCTATTTGTTTTAGTTTTTACTTTCCTACCTCTACAAGTAAGAAAACTATTGCAATCAGGTCAAATTTCCGATGTGTGGCATTCGACGGATCTTAATGTTTCAGAGCCCCCTGATTCAAAACAACACATTTTCAGCCATTGGTCTGTATGTGCCAAGATTATCTCAGGAACAAGTAGACCGATTTTGTTGCTTCTTTTTTTTTTTTTTTTTTTTAGGGTTTTGACAACTGACTATCATCGGGTGTTATAAGTGACAAATATATTTTTCAATATACTGTAGAACAAAAATGGCTCTTTCAATATTCATTTTTAGCCCGTTATTTTTAAAGGTAATGAAATTTCCTAGAAAACTGCATAAAATTCGTTCATTTCAGACAATTATTTTAATTTTGTAGGTACAATTACGAATTCGGCAAATCCCAGTGCCAGAAAGGGATGAAAGAGAGACACAAGTTACAAGTTTCACTTTTCTTTCAACAGAAATTATTGGCTGACAAAATCGGGCTATAAAAAAAAAGTTTTCGATTAGCAATGTTGGAGTGTATTGAATTTTTAATGCTAATCTTCCACAAACCATTCTACAATGCTTTAGTTTATAGATTGTAGATATAAAAACTTTTCTGAAATCAGTAGGAAAGTTGTTTGAGTGGACACACAAGATTTTTTAATTTTTTTTCCATTAATTCTACACATACGCATGAAGATCTTTGGCCAGGTGACCAGGTGATGCAATTTTATTTCTTGCTTGCCGGGAGGGGGGGGGGGGAGAGCACATTTAGCCTTGAAGAGGTCATTTATCAGGAGGATCCACATTCCCTGAATAGATCGACCATGGAATGAATCTCCAGGTAGTTTGCAACATCCTGGAAAACCACATCACTATAAATGAGGAAGGATCATCTTTCCTATAACCAATCTGGGTAAGTTGCCTCCAATAGGGTGTTGGGCATCATTTAACAGAGGAATCTCGGTTTGTGTGGCATTTCCTAGATTTATGATCACCAATCTAAATATTTATCATGTTCTATGTTTCTAAATTTTTAATACCTACTGCAAGTGCTACTCTGGTCCTGGGTGAATAAACTACACATATATAATTGTAGTATATAATAATAAGGTATTATAGAAGAGAAGGATGGTTAGGGTGTTCAGTCAAATTGAAATGGTAATAATAATAATAATAATAATATCTAAAAAGTAATAGATATTAATCTGAAGTGGCTGGACTTCTGGTCTCCCACCTCAGAAACTTACCCCGCAAAGCGAGAATAAAGAATGGAAATAATAATAATAATAAGGCTTAGCGAACCCGAAGGTTCGGTGCCGACACCACCAATCGCTTGTTACACACCTCCCTCCACCGTTCACCGTCCAAATCCAGTCCCTTCAGATCGGCTTTAATGCAATCTTCCCACCTTCGCTTCGGTCTACCCCTCGGACGCTTACCATTCGGCACAGCAAATGTTAACCTTTTAGGAATTCTCTCGTTACTAAGCCCAACAACTTTACAAGCCCATTTGATTCGCCGCGATGAAATTACATTGATACAGCTCACGCAATTCGGCGTTGTGTAACAGTCTGAACTCTCCGGTTAACTCATCCTTCTTCGGTCCGAATGAACATTAAAGTAAAATTAAGTAGGTAGAATGATAACAGTAACAGAGAACTAAGAAATTAATAATAATAACCGTAACAAAGCACGGACCAATGAAATAAGCATAATAAAATATAAGATAATATAAGAAATGAAAATGTTAATCTAGAATTAAGTGTAAAACAGAGAAATTTCTTATGTTACACCTTATATTTTATTATGCTTATTTCATTGGTCCGTGCTTTGTTACAGTTATCATTCTACGTTAAGTTGTTCATTTTACGTTAAGTTGTTCTACTAAAAATTATTAGTCTTTACCTATCACCCTTTTTTTTAAATCTTAATTCTGTATTATTCAATGTTATTATACCTATTGTTATCTGGTTCTTTTCCCAGCCCTGAACTTCGGGCCGAAACGTGGGTGAATATAAAAATAAATAAAATTATTAATTTTTAATTTACCATTCAAATTGAAATGGTAAAAAATTAATAATTTTATTTATTTTTATATTCACCCACGTTTCGGCCCGAAGTTCAAAATTATTAATTTTTAATTTACCATTCAAATTGAAATGGTAAAAAATTAATAATTTTATTTATTTTTATATTCACCCACGTTTCGGCCCGAAGTTCAGGGCTGGGAAAAGAACCAGATAACAATAGGTATAATAACATTGAATAATACAGAATTAAGATTTTAAAAAAGGGGTGATAGGTAAAGACTAATAATTTTTATTAGAACAACTTAACGTAGAATGATAACAGTAACAAAGAATTAAAAAATAAATAATTATGACTGTAACAAAGCAAGGACCAATGAAATAAGCATAATAAAATATAAGGTGTAACATAAGAAATTTCTCTGTTTTACACTTAATTCTAGATTAACATTTTCATTTCTTATGTTATCTTATATTTTATTATGCTTATTTCATTGCTCCGTGCTTTGTTACGGTTATTACTATTAATTTATTAGTTCTCTGTTACTGTTATCATTCTACCTACTTAATTTTACTTTAATGTTCATTCTATCTAATTCATTTTACGTTAAGTTGTTTTACTAAAAATTATTAGTCTTTGCCTATCACCCTTTTTTTAATCTTAATTCTGTATTATTCAATGTTTGTTATACCTATTGTTATCTGGTTCTTTCCCAGCCCTGAACTTCGGGCTGAAACGTCGGTGTTGGATTTACATCCAATATTTTATTGTTTATTATATTGTAATTTGACCTGTATGAACAACACGAGGGACCCCTGGTCTTATCCTGCACTACCCCCTTCCTAAGACGGCGTTATCTACGCCTAAGGGTCAGATGATAGCGAACGAAGTCAAGAACTGCACGGCTTACGGCCTACCTCATTAGCAGACCTCGAGATTTACAGCCCTTCGGCTATACTATTTCCAGGACCCTGGACGAATGAGAGAGAGAGAAGGTACGAGACCGACCCCCTCATCAAACTGTACGTATATAATTATTTATTCACAAGTATTCCTCCAAAGAACATTTATTTTTATATTTGACAAAAAAAGGGCTCCCGGGCATATGGCATGTACCGGGACCCCAATATTGTACAGTCGGCGAATGTAACAATAAATAAAATTATTTATTTTTTACCATTTCAATTTGACTAAACACCCCATAAACCCACAATGAGATATTGTAATATATAATTTTGGATATAATAAGTCATATCCATGTTGAATCTGATACTAACAAGATTGAGGTTTTGATTTTTCCGTACATCACCGCTCTGACTGCTATCTGGGATTATCATGCCGCTCTCCTCAGACGATTCGAGCATTCTCTGCCTCCAAATGGCTCTTTGTTGTTCTATCCTCAGCGCTTCTTCTTTCGAGTCGTACTCCACCCTCATGTTCAAATTGTAGTAATTACGTATGATCTGACCGAGCAACCACCTGAAATTGAAATTTTTTATAAACAGCTAATACAATCATAGAGACGATATATATGAAGGTCCTCCAGAAAGTAAAGAACGATTTCTCGGCATAGGTAATTTGGGTAAAGTTTAATTGCTGCGGGGTTTCAGAACATCAAAATGGTGAAACCAAATAAAGATCCTGCTAAATATGAAGTATCTTTTTAATGCACAAAATATTCACCGAATAAAAACTAACATAACTTTTACGGTGAAAATGGAATGAGTAAATCACTAGTGAGAAAACAAAGCATAATAATCAAGAAAGAACTAGTGTACAATGAAGACAAGAGTGGAAGGCAATCGTTCGTTAGCAATGAACTGAAAGAAGTGAATAAAAAATAAATTTAGAAATACTTTCTGAAACAAAAGGATTTTTTGGGTGAAAAAGAGTCCACAGATATTGAAGAACTTAAATTTACTGTGGCACTCTGGCTCAAGTCTTGAACAGAAGAAGAAAATAACATTATCAGTGAAAAAATTGGTACGTTATTACAATAAATGCATTGATAGTAATGTAATGACAATTGAATTTAAAAAATGGTGTGTCCACTCACACAATTTTCAAGTGATTTCAGATAAATTTAAACCACTATAAATTTGTCAATTAAAAAGTACATTTAAAATCAATGTACAAAATTCACTTGGTAACTATTGGTAATAATACTGGTCCGATTTAGACGATTTATTTTTAGTTTTGTAGAGAATTTAATCAACTTTCAAAAAATGGGCAAGCTTAATTAAGGAAGCTCTGAAACATCAATATCTGTTAACAACTTCAGTTTGAAAATTTGAATCAATACTTACCTTGCAGTGATAGAAAAGTGAGAAAATGGATAGAAAATCCAATACACTGTGTCATTCCTAATAATATTTCGAGTTTGATGATTTTTAGTTTATTATTTTTAATAATGAACCATTGTATTTGGCGAAAAATTTAAAAGCTTAACCTCCCTCAAAACTTGAGGTTATACATTTCAGGATACATAGAATTGGAAAACCAAATAAAAAAAAAAAAAAAATTGTTGTCCATTTGCTGTCTGCACATTTTCTCAGAGAATACTGGACCAATTATATTCAAATTCGGATTTAAAGTCAGAGGTCACCCAAGGATGATCATCCTACATTGACATTGCTATCCGCTCTTTCCTTTCAAGATGGCAGCCAAAAAACCTGTGTAGCTATAGACTGTAGCGCCTAAATTAATGTACCAATAACAATGAAATTTGGCTTAAGTCTTCTTCTCGATGGCCTTTAAATTTATTTCTATAACGTGTTTTAACAAAAAGAAACTGGAAAAAAGTAATGAAGGGTGGTAAAATTAGATTTCCGAATAACTAAAAAGTATAAACTTTTTGTTGATATTGTATTGGTTTTAGTTGTATTGTATTGGTTTGTTAGTATTTAAAAGCTAAGAATTTTTCCTATAAATAAAAAAATCGTTGAAATCGGACAATTTGGAGCAAAGATATCATGTCTAGATATATTTTATATGTTCTACTGCAAAGGTTGTATCCTTTGTTTTGGTTTTTGATTTTTGAAAGCATTACTGAAGCAATGCTATTTTTTTCGCAAATTACTAATGATGAAAAAAAATATATTTAGGTCAATAATAGGAGGAATCACCTTTTGTTTATTTTTATTACCAGGAAGGTAATGTTACTTTAGATGTATAATTGTTTGGAAATAATAAACCATTATGTAATAACTTGTAGCGTTTTTAAGTTTATATTAAAAATTTATAGTAAAACGTATACTTGTTTAGTAATGCCAGAAAAAAAATTTCCCTGCTTTTTCTAAAAAATGTATTACACATATGAAAATTAAAAGGGCTTCAAGTAGAAGATTGTAGGCAAGTTTCATCACAATTGTTAGAGCCGTATTTATGTGCTATAATCAATAGAAAAACAGATGATTCTCTTATTGGACAGCCCTTATTACACTACAAAAATCAAAGCAACAAAATTGATTCACCCAATCAAGAGATTGGGTGAAAAATATATTTTTCAGATTCAGAGGGCTCTCAAACATAAAGATCCATTGAAAAACACAAATAAAAAATTTCATCAGATTACAATACATTTTCCTATCTAGTAACAGAAATAAAGTAATAAAGTAAGGTTTTGTAGCTTTGTAAATACATAGTCTGTGGTACGTACCCCTTTTTATCAAATTATTAATATCCGGCTGAAACTTCGTAAATAGCTTCATCTCATTGTAACCTACAAATATTTTATTTACGAAATTTTCCGGAATTGGGGCATTTTCAATCTGGAAGTCGGCGAACTTTGTCTATTTAATTCGGTACCAAAAACTAGTAGTACTCACCCATTTTCTTACCATTTTAATCGTAAGATATCTTGAGCAAAATGTCGAAAAAAAAGGTGATGTTCAAAAATATTGGCTGTTAGGCCTATATAACCTCCTTAATTTGACAATCTGTGGAAGTAGATCATGCCAAACAGCTCAATATTTTTGAAGGCTACCTTTTTTCTTGACTTCGTGCACAAGCAAATGGGTTTATACGAGTATTTAGTACCTAATTAAATATACAAAGTTTGCCGACTTCCAGATTGAAAATACCCCATTTCCGAGAAATTTCATAAATAAAATATTAGTAGGTTACGAAGAGATGAAGTTATTTGCGAAGTTTCAGCCGCATGTTAATGATTTGATAAAAAGTAGTCTGTACCACGAACTAAGAGTTTTGTATTTATATCTTTAATTTTTATTTATTTTTAGTTTTGTCAAATCTTTCTTTACTTTTTGTACAATCCTTGTATTACAAATGCTAGGACAGAGATAAGAAACTAATCTGAGACTTCACCTGTATCCATTGAGAAGTCTTGGATCTATTTTCTTCCTGCGGGAGTTAGGAAGTTTAGCAGAACAAACTTCTACAAGAGTCAAACATTTTTGTTCATTCACCAATGGTTCTAGCCTCAATGCTTCAACGATATCTATTTCATCCAAAGCTCCAGGCAAATCTTGTTTATTAGCCAGGCTGAAAAAAAATCATAAATATTAGTGAATAAAACATAAGGACTATCAAAAATCATTGTATAATCAACTTTATGGAATTATAAATCATTATATAAATAATCAAGGTTCTATAAAATATTAGTTTTGATAGAAATGCAAATTGTGCAAGAAAATGAAATTTCAGCAGAACTAATCAGAGTGCAGAATAAAGAAAACTATCAATGCTGTGAAGATGAATGAATGATCGGTGAAGCGGCAGCTAATCATACCTTTTTTTTTATAGAGATCAAGTCTTATGGAAAATAAATTATCTTAAAGAACTGGTTGCAATCAGTGTCAATGTGTAAAAATAAAATAAAAATAAAATGCTGCAAATTATTACACAATGGTCTATTATTTCCAAACAGTTATATATCTAAAGTAATATTACTTTCCTTGTAACATAAGAAAAAATAAACAAAAGGTGACTCCTAATATGTTTAGGCCTAAATATTTTTTTTTTTATCATTAGTAATTTGATAACAAAAATAGAAACAACATTGCTTCAGTTTAGGTAACACTTTCAAACAATCGAAAACCAAAACAAAGGATATAAACTTTGCTTACACAGTATACATATTTAAAAAAAAAAAAAAACACTATATCGTTGCACCAAATTAACCAATTTCAACAATGATTTTTTTATTTTAGGAAATTTCATAAACTTTTAATATAACATCCACAAAAAAGTGTTAAGAGTTATTAAGAAATTTAATTTTACCACCACTCGTAATTTTTTTTTTGTTGAAGTGTGTTATATAAATAAATTCAAGGGGCATGGAGGAGAATACGTTAGCCAAGTTTCACTAATATAGGTACATTTGTTCAGGTGCTGTAATCTATACGACCCAGATCTTCTAGCTGCCATCTTGAAAGGGAAGTACTTTTTGGTGAAGTATGTTCTATACACATATTTAAAAGGCATCAAAGAGAATACTTTGGGCAAGTTTCATTGAAATCAATATATTCATTTAGGCACTACAGTCTATACCAAAACAGGTTTATGAGCCACCATCTTGAAAGGAAAGGGCAGATAGTAATGTCGAGGAAGGAGGGTTATCCTCGGGTGATCTCTGACTTTGATTCGAAATTTGAAAAAAAATCGGTCCAGTAGTAGAAGAAAATGGTTGGACAGTGGACGGACAAAAATTTTTTTATACGATTTACGAGTTCTACGTATCCTGAAAAGTAAAATCTGAAATTTTGAGGGGAAGCTTGAATGCTTCTTGAAAGCTACATTGAATGCTTTCATCTGGGAGCTTATCAAGAACTGGTGCTTTTATGAGTTCTGGGAAGTTCTTTTCTAATGTTAGAAATAGTTGAATCTAAAGTCCGATACTCTTCTTCATCTTAAATCTGTACTTTATCTTTTGAAGCACTATTTTCATTCTAAAAAAAAACTTATAACACATAGTTATTATTGGCAGAACTAAAATGCAAGAGCCAGTTGTAAGTATATAAGTAACTCAATTTGAAAGAAAGATACTACCCGTTACGACAGAAATTAGAAATTATTATAAACAAAGATAAAAAGAAAAATAATTTTAGATTCAGAACTTCTGATGTGCAAGATGCATTATATATATTGTGAATAATAAAATGAGTGATTGTGCTTCAGTGTTTTAATTTTGTAGAGGACTTACACCAAAACAGGCTTTCCAGCCAATTTATCGTTTCTAAGTAAATTTTCTAGTTCCTGCTTACATTCTTCAACCCTTGATATATCACTGGCGTCCACAACGAATATCACCCCATGAACCTGTTATTATTGTTATTTTTTTAATGAAAACATTGAAGATATTATAGTAAACTGTAATATATATATATATATATATATATATATATATATATATATATATATATATATATATATATATATATAACTTTTCTACCTATTTCAGAAAAGTTTTTATACCTTAACGTATGTTCATGAAGAAACATAAATAACATAAATTCCTTGTATGTATAAAAACAAAATCAGAACTATGATATTTATACGATTTGAAAAAATAAATATCTAGTGTGTCCACTCACACGACTTTTCTACCTATTTCAGAAAAGTTTTTATACCTTAACATATGTTCATGAAGAAACAAAAAAGAATTGATCTAGATTTATTCTCCTGAAAATTAATCAAACATAAGATTTGAGTACGATTTATTTGATAAACTAAAGCAATGTAAACCAAACCGGTGAACCAAATAGTGAAGCTTGTGTGATGTGGGCAACAGATTTTCTTAGTTACACTTGGTCATTTTTGTTCTCTTATTCACCCCTTTCTGACACCAGGATATGAACCCGTAATCTTAAATTGAAATTGAATAGCTGTAACTTCGTTAATAGTTGTCCAAAATGAACGATTTTCATACAGCTTTGTAGGAAATTTCATCACCTTTCAAAAAACACGCTAAACGGCGTTTTTTTTCGGACTCAGGAGGCTCTGAAACCTATAGATCCGTCGAAAACCGCATGTTGGAAATTTGACCCGATTGCAATACTTTCCTTACCTAGTATAGGTAGGAAAGTAATATGTTAAAAAATGTGTAAAAAATAGAATAAGCTGTATCATCGCTAATACTGGGTCGATTCTGATGATTTTTTTTTTTGTTTTGTTGGTAATTTAATCACCTTTCCAAAGTTTCATTATAAATTTTATTATATAATATATACTTAGGGAGTTAGGTAAACTAAATAGTTCAAAAAATGCATAGAAATGTAAATAATATTGAAAGAAAATGGTTGACTTCATGTCAAGAATAGAATATAAATTCATAAATAAATAAATTTTGTTAAGTAGCAAGAAAACTTTGATTATATTCTAATTTAAATAATTAATTTATAAAAATAATCAAAACATTGAAGAGAAAAAAATATTACATCACAAAAATATGAATTCCACAACGCTCTGATTTGACACCCTCCACCTAGATCATATATGGTAACTGTGTAACCTCGATGTTTAAGGTTTATTGCAGAGAACCCAACGGTTGGTATTGCATCTTGAACAAATTCTGAAACAATAATTAAAAAATATAATATTGAACAAGTGATACTTAAAATATTCTACAATAAGGAAATACATTTGAATTATAATATTGAATATAATTTAATTTAATACACAATGATCCTCTCTACAACAGACATGTACAGATCCAACGGATTGGCCATTATTAAGGGGTGTCCACTGAAAAGAATGTACAAATACTTATTAAAAAATGAATAAGTTCAATAGTTTTAAATTTTGAGCTAATTTCTGCACAGAAAATATTTTTTTTTAATTGAATGACTTTTCTAATATTGTAAGAAATTTATACACTGTCATATTGTTATAAGTTAATAGAGCAAAGTAATACTGTCTGATGAAAGATAATTCTGATGCTAGCTTTTGTGTTGTGTTAAGAGATAGAGTTCAATTAGAACTTTTTTATAGCATACTAAATATTAACTCAAAAAGAAATTATGATACAAGTTGAGTATTCATTTTTTATTTTTTCTGTTCATTTTTCGGGTGTTGCTATGTTGAAGTCACATATATATACAGGATGTTTCAGGGTTAAGTGACCAAACTGCAAAAATGAAATAAAGACTTCAAAACAAGAAAAAAATTTCCTCTGAAGGTATGTCTGCAAACATTTTGTTTAGGAGATATTCACATCTCAAGATTTTCATTGTTATAAATTATTTACATTATATGAAATAAATAAAACCTATTTATTTGCTCTAACTACTTTATTAATTAAATGTAAACATTAACATTCATAATAAATGTTGTTTAAAGTGAAGGTCTGCATTTCTAGCTGCCTCGACTCAATGAGGGCCGTTATATTTAAAAGTGTTTGCGGACAAATCTTCATGGGAATTTTTTTTCTTGTTTTGAGGTACTTAATTCATATTTTCAGTTTGGCCACTTAACCCTGAAACACAGTGTATATAGAATCGATAATCATGAAAAATTAAATTCTATACTACTCTGTTTCACAACCATCGCCAAAAAAAGATGTAAAAAATTACCTCCAGCCAATCCTTTAGCAGCAGTAGTTTTACCAGCATTGTCTAATCCAACCAAGAGTAACACTATCCTCCTACAACAGAGTACAGTTACGGTTTGAGAATTTTTTTAACATATACTAAATGTTAACTAATGATGTGACAAACATTTATATTTATAACCTTCAAAATTAAGAAAAAAGTTGTGTAAATTATTGTATTAATTAAAGTGAAAACATTTTTGTCAAACTAAACTCATAATCTGAGGTATTATTTTAACAAACCATAGTATTGCTTTGTATATAATAATTCATTCCTAATGTCCTGGATTTATCATTTCATGGTCACTGATTAAAAATTCCTAACATTGGCATTTCCATATTTAAATGTTGCAGCATTATTTCTGGGAAACTATAAGTATAACAATGGCGGAAAAAGGTCTTACATTTACAAAAAAAAAAAAAAAAATTATTCACCAAATCTAAGATGTTCGGGGGTGTTTTACAGGATGAGACTAGTAAAATGTATAGACAGAAGGCTCAAACCGTAATCTATGTTACATGGGGCAGGAGCCATATGCTGGAACTTCAGGTATCCTGCTACAATTACTATTAATAAAGGAGTTGTGGATAGTGTTATCTGGAATACATCTTCATTATGGTTCCAAATTTTCACAAAGGAGGGCACTGTTTCGTGTCAACAAAGCTGTAGGTCAATATCACATGAAGTGGTGTCTTTCGACCATCTCCTGCGAGAAGTAGTCACCAATTATGCTTACAAGAGAATTGGCTCAACAAGACATTTGAAAAATATGTGGATCAAAATTGTTGAAAAACCAAAATATAATCCGGGATACAATTGAGGAATGTAGCCGGCCATTAGATGATGACGCTGAAAAAAATACTCTTACCACCAAATCTCTGTTAAAAGCATCCTGAGTCCTCTCGGACTTTATTTTATTTTTTCCTTTAGCCCGGACTGGAGCCATTTCTGACTTATGGGGAGAAGTGGATATTCTAGAAGCAAAACTAACATATTCTGAGTGTGAAGGTTGAGAATCATTTAATGAGTCTGCCATAAAATAAAGTTTAACTTGCACAGGCCAGATTCGAAGCGGTGTTGTTAAGCTCAAGATTGCTGAGATTATGATGACTACGGGATATCACAATTCCTCATGGAATGAGGAGCTTTCCAATCAAAACTATACAACCTTAGCTAGAACATAGATTCACAAATAAATTAACAAATTTTCTCAGTTGGTGAGAGAGGAGAACTTCCTCTGGTTCAAGAAATTCATTTTATTGGGAAACCGTGGTGAGTTCATCAGAGTACTACTATGGAGTACGAAGAGTAGAAAAACTGCCCGATTCTGGAAGTCACTTTTCACTATGAGCCATAAAAAAAAAACTTAACTTCAGAAAGAAAAGCAAGATCAAGCCGTAAACCTTGTACACTATTAAACTGATTGTAATGTGTGATATCTCACTCCAGAAAAATCCCATTTAACTTAGAAGACAGGGAAATGTGGAAAATGAAACTGAGTTTTTTTAAATATTATTGATTGCAAATTTTGCTTAAAGTACATCTATGGTCATCATCATCAAAATTATTCACTATTTTCACATATTTATGAATACATTGATCACAGAAAAAAAAACTAGACAACATAAATCACATGAAATAAAATTAAAGAACTTCGGAGTTAAAGAATCAACAATATACCTAGTGTAATTCCTATGAGGAAGTCTACAACAGCAACAGTCTCCCATGTCATAATCATTTTAAGACATCAACGAATGCATAAATTTCTAGTTTTCGTTCAAACTTCTTGTCAAGCATGAATCACAAACAATTATCGAATAGAAATAAGGGTAATTCATTTTAAATAGACAATATTAGCGGCACAGTAACCAGATTTGGCGAGGTTTTACTGCTGTTTCCCGCATCTAAGGCCCGTTGCTATATACACAAAACAAATTAAAAACTCTACGTTATTTAATCGATAAAATTACCATATAACTAGTAAAAGTGTAAAATCATTGGTAACTATCATCGTTTACTTTTTACAATGATTAGTTACTTTTGGAGTGAAGTTATGAGGGCAAATGACAGAAGTTATCATCAAAATAACCTGGCTTTGAGAACCTGCAGGCATTTTTATCTGATAAGGAGGAGATAATTGTTGTACCCTTGACTACAGCTTTCAGTCGTTATTCGAATGTTTTAGTGGTCACTCGTCATGTCTCTTTTTTTCTCTCGATTTTCTTCTCGGACCAAAGTCCTTTCTTCTCTCCATCAAAATCTCTATTTGACCTCTCAACTATGCTCATCGAAACCAACTGTCCAACCTAAGGCTGCAGAAGTTCCTCCAACACATTACACGGACTTATGTAAGTTAATAACTATTTGTACATTAAAAAATAATACATTCTTGAAGTGATTGAGAAAAAAAAGTGGTTATAATGTGGATATTTTTTTCTTTCACCTTCTTATTATTTTATCATCTTTTGTCAACAGTAAGGAGGACTCATAAGCCAAATAATTTGGAGAGAAAAATTCTTGTGTGGACTGGTCGATTTAAAAATGATGGAGAGATTCCTAATGAAATATCGTAAGAATGCATACCATTTATTCTAAAATTTTAACAATAATCCATTGAGAAATTTTAATGCAATGAGTTGTCATAACATTCCTGAATTCCCATAGACTAATCTTACAGATTATAGTGTAATTATTATTTGTGGAGTACAAATAAATACATATTTATCAAATGCAACATATACAGTATATAATTTCATATGTTTTATTTCTATATTTTTTGTAAGACAAAATATTTCAGAACAGTATCTAAGAAAATTCTAATTTATATATCTTTACATTTTATCTATCCCATGGTATTGAACCTTTTTTGCTTTGGTTAACATATTTTTTAACACAATGATTTCTTAACAAATCGAACACTTACATTTCTATTTATAAATAATAATAAATCTGAGGGGTCAGTATCAATGTGTCTAACCATAACCATTGAAACCAATTAAAACTCAACTCAAACCATCCTTTATTTAATGCTTGCTTCGATTCTTGGAAGTTTACACTTCCATTTAATTGAATAACAGTCTATGTTGTTATTTTTTTCAATTTACAGAAACACTTAAAATCCTTTTTTATTTGAAAGTAATTTTAAAAAGATTATTCTGTCCATCACCCAAGGCATGTCATTAATTATTATGAAATTACTTTAAAAATTTTTGACAAAAATTGCATTTCATGCAAGTCAATCAAAAACTTGATTTCAGAAACATATTACATAGATTGTTTGCTCAGACTCTTCAATTAATCTGACTAATGTAAACATATATAAATTTAAATTTTTGATCTATATGTATGTTGTCATTATCTTGGTCGAATCAATTGTCATACCTTATTCTGCATGGAATGTTAGTTTTAATTAATGATAAAATATGTTTACATATAAATAGAATTTATTAATAGTAATTCAATTATAAATTGAACAGAAATTTGATTTTGAATTATATTGTTTTAAATTATCATTGATTCTCTATTTCAAGATTAAACAGAAGTTCTTCAGTGTTCTTTTGATTTCTAATTATTTCATGTTAAGAGTAGATACGATTTTCTAAAATTATCCAACCTGAAAATAATTATATTTAAAAAGTTTTATGAAAATAAAAAAATCCTTATGGGCCAAAAATGAATTCAGAAATAGAGCTTATATTTTTAAAACTGTTCTATAAGTATAATTTCTGATTAGGATTTTTTTTATTATTGAGCTTTATAATTATATAGGAAATATAATATTATAGGATAAATTATAGACATGTTTTATAATTTTTAAGGGGGGGGGGGAGGAAGGTGAACAAAGCTAAGAACATCATAGATAGAATAGCCATCAGCAGTTTATTGCCTGTAATATAATATCACATTTATTATTTTTTTGTGTGTATGTTATTTTTAAGGATATAAATATGAAAGGGAAACTTCATAATTAAGGTCCTCTTCATAAAATATTAAGGGGGGGAGGTAAGAAGTGATAGATTGGTTTTAATGTCCTTTACTATTGTTCTATGGATTTTTTTGTCTTACAAATATATTCATTTGGAGACCAAAAAAAAAATGTTTTCTTCACTTCAAGTGTCTTTTAAATCGTTTGAAATTGACAAAATATCATTTAAAGATAAGTTTAAACTAAATCATCACGTAAAACCGCAATGTAATTTGATTTTTCACAGTTCTGTTTGTAATGTTTAAATAACAGTGTGAAGGATGAATCATCCAGAAGTTTAAGTTGTTTGACGTAACATGAGGAAAACTGGCAGTTGATTCATTTTAACGGACTTCGTAGAATTTTACAAGCTCCGGTATTTCCCTGGGAGGAAGTCGTACACGATTTATTATGGTCAAATTTTGCGTCAAACCACTTCCCAATGTTGAATGGAAATTTCATCATGTTATAATTTCCTCAAATTGTATTTTAAGAAATTACACCTCTTATCAGTTAACTAATTGCTTTAATACTCTAACCGTTAATATAAGTATTATACGGTTCGGGAAAGTTTCTAAATTCAGCGTTAATTCCATGGATTGAATCTAACATCCAAAGCCGGAACTAGGAAAAAGCAAAAGGGGAACTTGTCCTCGCCCGGAAATTTCGAGTTTTTCGACAAGTTTTTTTCTTAAGTAAATAATATTTTGTCTATTTTTTTTTTTATTCTTTCCTAATTCAGTTAATGACACGAGTTAATACTATCTGATGATAAGTATTTCGAAATATATTACTCACAACAAGCACTAGCGGATCCAGGATTTAGTTTTTTTTTAGGGGGGGGGCTTCAGCCCGAAAGATTTTTTAAAAAACATATAACGATGATTTTCATATAACTATAACGTAAAATTTCTTCCATTAAAAAAAATCTTTTCTTCCATAGATTTTTGCAGAAATTTCGGGTGGTACGGTTTATTTTTCGCATGTGAAGGAGCTGAATATCTTCAAAATGAGTGGTCATTCATTGTATTTGATGAAGAATTGACGAACTTATGGCGTACCTACAAAAAAACACCTTTTAGAAATAATATATAGGCCAGAAGAGCTGTGTTGAGATAGTTGTCATGGCAACGACTTCACTTTTCATTATGATGATTTTGCCTGCCTTTAACTAAAACATTCATCCTCAGGATTTTATCCTAATTCAATGAAACTACAACCGTTGGAAAGCTGAATTATAGCTCTTCAAGTCCGTGTAAATAACTTTTTGATTTAACACGTCTATAAGGAGAAAATAAATAAAAACTCCTAACAGTTTTTTATTTTGTAACTTGAATTCTATATTATTTAAAAAGGTACAGTTTGTGTCATTTCGTGTAGTTTATAAGGCCCCCATATCTCTGCAAAATTTATCGTTATATGTTCGTTATCATTATATATACGTTATCGTTATATGAAGAAAAAGAAATACGTAGGAAGAAAAAGAAGGGAGTCTACCGTCTATATGAAATAAAGTTTAAGTGATTCTTGAAGTATTGCTAAATGTAATACTAATTTGTAAATGTAAAAATAATTTGGGGGGAGGGGGTCTTCAGCCCCAAAGTCCCTCCCCCTCCCCCGTGCTAACAAGTGGAGGTTACCGACATGGTGTCTCACCTATTTCAATTAAACTTTAGTATGGTGATACTAGGCCGAAAAATATTATACCTTTCTCCGAGTGTTCTTAACCATGCAATCTGAGCCAAGAAAAAATATATATAAATTTTTTTTTTTATTTTTTTTTTATAACTACTTCCTGACTTTGCATGGATTTTTAAATTATTATATATCAATCGATTTATTTATTTTTTTTTGTGTAAAATTAGAAACATACATTGCCAATTATATTAAATAAATTCTATGAGAAGGAATTAGTCGAGGGTGCGGTCAAAAAATAAAAAAAATTAAAATATATAAATAATTTTAATTTTTGCCGACGTTTCGACCCACTTTGCAGGTCGTCTTCAGGGCGTTGGATGTGGCACTGCGGGAGGCGGTTGAAACACTGCTGTATTAGTTCCTTTGTTCACCTTTTATTTTTTTGACCGCACCCTCGACTAATTCCTTCTCATATCATATCAACGGTCAACCAACTCTACATCATTATAAATAAATTCTAATGTATAATAAATTATAACAACCTAAAGACGCTTCCAGTTAAGTAAGCGAAGTAAATTTTTGTCATGAAAATACTATTCAGATTCGTGTTTAGCGAAACTTAATATCTTAAATACGAGTTTGTTTTGAAATAAAAAATATATAAATATTGTGACTTAATTTTATGACGAGGATTTTCTTTTTATGCCATTAATTAAATAATTCATAAATTCTGTGGATTTTCTCCTAAGTTAACATTACTACAACCGTTGAAAAGCTAAATTATTGCTTTCCAAAACCATATAAATAACGTTTTTACAATTTTTAATTTAGATTTTACACCTTTATAAGGAATAAATAAAGAAAAACTCCTCAAATGTTTGTATTTTTTTATCTCCCAGCATAATTTATTTGCGAGTGTCTGGTTCCTGCCATTTTGTTTATATTAAAGGAACGTTCTGAATTACATCAATGAGTTTAGAAACGGTTTGATCGATGCGAGTTTAGGGACTTGCCCATATCAATTTGTATTACAATTAGAAATAAAAAATCGAGAAAATTATCCATTGGACCCTTGGTTTCTGTTTTTTTGCCCTTTCTTTCTTTCCCCTGAATAGACTTTTTATGAAAATTACTAAGTTTTCTAAATCGTCAAATTTAGTGGAAGCCAATCTGTCAAAATGATTGATAAAGGTTTATCCAGTATTAGAGAGGTTCACTTTATCTCAATAGATAACATGAATTATGTTTTTGAGTAATTGGACAGTATTCAGGAGAAGAGGTCCAATCCACATAATATACGAATAATAGTGGTTTTGAATGGGGTTCTTAATATTTTCAATAGAAAATGAGGATGTCTTTGTTTAGGTAGCTTAAAATCAAATAGAAGTTGAAAAAAAAAAACTAAGGCGAGTGCTTTAGACCACACGATAGAAGTAAAAAACATCAACAAGGCGAGATTAATAATATGAAATATAAATAAATAAATAATAGCTCATTATAAAGAGAATGAAATGATGAACGATTCCCTCGCTTACAGTATGCAGGTCCGATTTTTAGTTTCTGAGACATTTTAGTCCATATCTAACATAAAACTCGTTATAACTAGGTTTTCGACACCATTTTTTCCCTTTCGCTTCTCTAACATAGCGTTGCGTCAAGTAAAATTTTGAATATTATATAATTAAAAAAAGGGTGAAATGATGAATATTTCCCTCGCTTGCAGTTTGCAGGTTAAATTTTTTAGTTATTTTAATCTATATGCAAAAACACTTCAATTAGTCGACTTCAGTCGATTTTACCTTAGCGTTACACATCGGAAATATGACGGCTCAATCTAATTCACTTTCCCCAAAAAAAGTGCTAAACGCGCCTTTACAAGTTTTCACTTTAAAAAGGATTTTCGAACATTTTAGTATTCTAATATAAATATATTGGCTCTTAGACTGCATACTGTTTTAAACTATTTT